TTCAGTTTATATCTCGCTGAAATCATTATGTAGAATCATGAAAAAACACTGACTAAATCCGTTATCTGTCTTCTTTTCAACACTTCCATTGTCAGAAATATTAAAGTTTTTAAAATTAGGTTAAATAGGCAAAAAAGCAAATCNGAAATGCATATGTCACCTGCAGATCTGCCCAAGGTGTGATGTCTGGCTATCGCGGAGTGCTGGGGGATGGGTAGCTGTCTCACAGAGGTGTGAAACTGCCATCAATCAAACAATAGCCCTGGCAGCAACAGGACAGGCGCAGCCTGTAATGATCCTAATATTTTGTTGCATTGCTCTAAAACCAGTATAATCAGTATTTTAATTCATGACCAAAAATTTTGTGTGGCCCAAACCGTCGGAAAGGCAAAGTGATTGAAAGGGTTAGATTACAAATTCTACAAAGATTACAAAGAATTAAACAATATCCAAAAAATACCAGCTTTTTAATATAAAACTGTAATTTTACTTCACATCTAACAAAAAGCAGATACATAAAACAGAAAAAATGAGGCCAACTGTGGATGCCCTGCCTGTTTCCAGAAGAGGAACATGTTCTTCATGGTCTCCAATCCTTCAGTATGCTGGCTGTGCTGGGAATGTTGCTTTTCCAGCCTTGCTTCCTGATCCAGGCGTCGACCCGGGACTCGGTGGGCTGCCGTCTGCCAAAGTGTGCTGTCAAGAACAAAGTTAATTGTTGTCAGATAAGAAGACTATGTAGTTAGGACCATTTCTCAGCAAAAAAATTGCGCTACAAACAATACTCACACAGGACATGCCGTACGCGCATCCTCATCTGGGCCTTCAGCCAGCGCTCATAGAGCTGCCGCTGAAACCGGCCCGACGTCTGTGTGCGTGCAGACTTGTCTGGGACGTCGCCATCCAGGGTCACGGGGTGGGTCCGCCGGAGCTGGTCGAATGCTGCCTGGACATCCATCTCTTGGTCAGACGCCAGGGCAGCATCCCGTGTGGTCCCACGGGCAGAACAGCTGGGTCCTTCCTCGGCAGAGTCAGCGCT